CAAGGCTGAGGCGGAAGGATCGCCAGAGCCTAGCAGGTCGAGGTTGCGGTGGCCGGGAGCGGCCACTGCACTACAGTCTGGGCGACAGAGTGAGACTCCAACTTACAAAAAAAAAAAAAAAAAATCAGAAATATGACCTGCAAATATTTCCTCCCACTTCGTGGCTATCCTTTCACTTTCTTTCAAATGGATTTAGAGGTTAAAGAGAATTTAAAACTTTTATACCCTAATCTTCCAAATCAAAATCCAAACCACTGAGCCTGTATCATACTCCTTTCAGATCATTCTACAGAAACATTCACGTAAGAGCATGAGAACAAACATACAATGCTTCTCATTGCAACATTTTTAATTGTCAAGAACCACAATCAACTTAAATTGTCATCAATCAAGTTCTAGAAAACGGAGGACAATCTGAGTAGCATGAGAAGATGAAGCTACTTTCATTTTTTGCTATATACAGTGGTGTATGATCTGAATTTTTTTGAATAAGTTTGTCCTTTTGGCATTTTTTTAAAGCTGTAGAAAAGTCTGTATTACTTTTTAAAATTAAGGTAACAGTATCATCTTCAACTACAAATATATCATTAAACACAGTTGTATGAAGTAGACCTAACACTAGACAATGCTTATCATTATATGAAAATCAGGGAATAAGTTTATTTTTGGGCAAAAGGATTATACCTATAAACATCCAATCTTCCAAATCAAATGTTCCAAATGTTTTGCTTTTAACATTTAACTATTTGTGACAGAATATTTTGTAGGTACACTGCATACTTTCCTGCATTTTTGATGCCCACATCATCCTGGCATTTCAAGATCACCAGTTTACTCATGAGTTATATTGGGCTATAGCATGCTACTGCATTCAGTGGCTATGAAGTATGTTTTTATCATCTTCTGAATGTGTAGTCTTAAAGAAAAGTCATCTTGAAGACTAACCTAACCAGACCCGTACTTTAATAACACCATCCTTGCCTCCCAGCACTTCCTGGTGGTCCTCCTTAGATCTCCTCGGCAGGGTTCATTAACTGGTCACTGTGCTACTGCTAAGATCCACAGATGCTTGTACATGGACATATTATGTGTTAGAATTCCAACTAAATTGTAAGGTCTTTGAAAGTTTAGAATATCTTTCATTACCTTAATAAGTGCTATGAATTAAATAGGAACTTATGAACATTTGACTAATTTATCTGAAAACACTGGTCTATGGATGGGCACAGTGGCTCACACCTGTAATTCCAGAACTTTGAGAGGCCAAGGCAGGATTGCTTGAATTTTTTTGAATAAGTGTGTCCTTTGAGGTCAGGAATTTGAGACCAGTCTGGGTAACATAGTGCAATCCAGTCTCTACAAAAAAATTAAAAAATGAGCTAGGTATGGTAGCATGTCCCTATAGTCCCAGCTACTTGGAAGACTGAAGCAAGAGGCTCACTGGCGTCCAGGAGTTCTAGATAGTAGTATTACTATGATCATGCTACAGTACTCCAGCCTAAGTGACAGAGTGAGACCCTGTCTCAAAAACAAAACAAAAAATTCCACTGGTATATTAACCGATATTGTATATCTCTTTTTCAGACTTTGAGTAAACCTCCAGAATATTCTACCAAATTGTATAATACGTCTCATTACAAAGACCAGTGGTCATTACACAGACACAGACAAGGGTAGGAAGGACTTTTACTGTGTACTCCTATATACCCTTTGAATTCTGAATCATGAGAATATTTCAGTGACTAAAATAAATAAAATTTAACAAAACACCACACATGGAAGAAGAATAAGATGACACATCCAAGATCATTCAGTTCAATTTCTTCCTTACATGCACAGGAAGCTATAAAAGTCAAGAGAAGTCATAGCTCACCCCAAATCAGATAGGATGTAACTGGCATAGCCTATATTAGAACCCACGCAGCACCCTTCTCTGCACTGGCACTGCTCCTCAACTTAGGAAGCAGTTTACCACATGATCACAGAAAAATCAGTCTTTAAAAAGACCTCCAGGCCGGGCTCGGTGGCTCAGCCTGTAATCCCGCGCCTTTGGGAGACTAAGGTGAGTGGATTGCTTGAGCCCACGGGTTCGAGACCCGCCTGGGCAGCGAGACCTCATCTCTACAATAAATCAAAAAATCAGCCGGGCATGGTAGTGCATGCCTGTAACTCTGGCTACTTGGAAGGCTGAGGCGGAAGGATCACTGGAGCCCAGCAGGTCGAGACTGCGGTGGCCGGGAGCAGCCACTGCACTCCAGTCTGGGCGACAGAGTGAGACTTCGACTCAAAAAAAAAAAAGGACCTCCACCTTAAACTGAGAGGCCATGGAATCAAATCACTCCAGATGTAAACCTATAGAAACTTTTTTGATGACACAAGTTCAAAACAACCTGAGGAACATCTAAAGAGATGATTACCTGTTCATAAAAGTAGAGTGCTCTTTCAAAGTTCTTCAGTCCAGTATAAATCATCCCTCCATAATAATAGTAACATAAAAAGTGCTTTGCATCATAGGCCCCATTCTCTTTACAGATATCCATCATGTCTACATCAAGATACGGAAGGGCAGGCTTAAAGCATTTTGCCAGCAAACAAAGCTGTGAACAAATTGATATTAAACCATCACTTTAATTTTACTTTGGCAGGCAAAGAAAATTCATAGATTCCATAAATTTCCAAAAAAATGTAATTTTGTTTTACAATTTATTGATTAAAATGATCTAAATATCAACAAAGTATAGGTTAGTATCTCTTATCTGAAATGCTTAGGACCAGAAGTATTTCAGATTTTGGAATATTTGCAGAATCCATACCAATTAATCATCCCTAATTCGAAAAACTGAAATCCAAAAAGTTCCAGTGAGCATTTCCTTTCAGCATCAAGTTGGCACTCACAGTTTCAGATTTTGTGACATTTCGGATTTAGATTAGGAATGCAAATCTCTACTCTACATTCTTAATCACTCAGAATAGCATTGCTTTATAAAAAAAACTAACCAGCTAAAAGGCAGAGCATGTCACAGATTAATTGAGAATAAACAGAAAATTCCACAGACAAAGTTCTGTTATCACTTAACCCAGCCACCACCCATCTGTTTACATACAGATGGGTAAAAAAGTGTGTTCATTGAACTAGAGGAACAGAAATAGACTAGCATGGTGTGCTAAAAATAGAAGTCTTTTCTTCAATTAAATTGTTGCAGTTTAGCCAGGCTCAGTGGCTCAGCCTGTAATCCTGTGCCTTTGGGAGGCTGAGGTGTGTGGATTGCCTGAGCCCATGGGTTCCAGACCCGCCTGGGCAGCGAGACCTCATCTCTACAATAAATCAAAAAAAATCAGCTGGGCGTGGTAGCGCATGCCTGTAATTCCGGCTACTCGGAAGGCTGAGGTGGAAGGATCGCCGGAGTCCAGCAGGCGAGGCTGCGGTGGCCGGGAGTGGCCGCTGCACTCCAGTCTGGGCAACCGAGTGAGACTCCAACTCAAAAAAAAAAAATTTGTTGCAGTTTTTTAATTCTTTAGGTAAGTGTAGGAAATAGTTTAATCCAAGAAAGCAAGCAGTTGGAAAAGTTCTCTATCTAGATCATGGAGACAAGATGCAGATGTATGTATAAACTCATCAAGCTATACACTTTAGTACTTTATATATGTTATACCTCAATCACAATCTTTAAAAAAATTTTTTTAAAGCACATCTTGATGTGAAACAAAAACATGTGCTTGGAATAATCCACATACTATGTTATTCATGAAGAAAACAATGTAAATACCCCATACAAACCTGTTAAACTATAGTGCACTCATATTATAGAATACCATGCAACTGTAGAGAACTGCCATGGAATCATCTCCAAGATGTAGTAAATAGAAAAAAGCAAGGTACGTAAGAGTTTATACATTCCTATCTGTTTGTATATGCATAAAATATCTTTGAAAGGATATACAGCAAGAAGCTACTAACACTTGTTTTCTATGGAAAGACTAAACGAATGGCTAGCAAATAGAGTGGTAACAAGACTTCATTATATGCCTTCCCTTTTGCCTTCTGGACTTTGAACATTTTAAAATAAGATAAACAAATAACACTTTAAGGTGTAAAAAGTTACCTGTGTTTATTCTCAGGTTCCTCAATTTCTTTAAAAGAAAACGACCTGGGACTTTCAAAAATGTTACAACCAGCTGGGCACAGTGGCTCATACCTGTAATCTCAGCACTGTGGGAGGCCGAAGCAAGGGGATCGCTTGAGTCCAGGAGTTCAAGACCACCCTGGGCAATACAGCGAGACCTCGTTTCTATAAAAATAAAAATATGCTGGGCTTGGTGGCTCAGCCTGTAATCCCACGCCTTTGGGAGGCTGAGGTGAGTGGATTGCCTGAGCCCGCAGGTTCGAGATCCGCCTGGGCAGCGAGACCTCATCTCTACAATAAATCAAAAAATCAGCCGGGCGTGGTAGCGCATGCCTGTAATTCCACCTACTCTTGGAAGGCTGAGGTGGAAGGATCGCTGGAGCCCAGCAGGTCGAGGCTGCGGTGGCTGGGAGCGGCCACTGCACTCCAGTCTGGGCGACAGAGTGAGACTCCAACTCAAAAATAAATAAATAAATTTAATTTAATTTAATTTAAATTAAAATATTGGTCTGGTATGGTGACATATGCCTGTATTCCCAGCTACTTGGGAAGCTGAGGCAGAAGGATTACCTAAGCACAGTAGGCTGAGGCTGCGGTGAGCCATGATCATGCTACTGTACTCCAGCTTGAGTGACAGAGTGAGATTCTGACTCAAAAAATGACAACCACTAATTATCCTATCTGTTCTACAAGCTTACTAGCCAAGTTTGCATTCAGTACCCTGCTGAATATAATGAATGTACTGCCAAATTGCCTTCATTTACCTAATCCAATGTTGAGCAACTCCATAAACAATCCTACATCTCTAACTTGATGTGAATCACACACTTTGGCTGCTTACCTGGCAGAGATCGGCGTGTATTGAGGTCAGCTGGTTTGTATTCATCTGCATCTTGTCTATGGCTTGCTTAAGGATGCCAATTCCTCGCAGGGGCTGTCAGAAATGACATCTCTTTCAGATAAGTTCTCAAAGATGGCAGCACATTGGTTCTTATGTTGTCACTTACAAATAAAAAATAACACTAATTGATAGGTTCCTTTAAACAGCATTATGAGGTTTCCATATTCTTTCAGGAAATTTCTGTTCCTATCCAGTCAGAAAACGTTTTCTTAAGCTGCTACTTGGAATTTTTAGATAATTCAGTACCATTTTCTAACTCACAAAGCTTTTTAACCATGAAGATTAATATGTAATCAAAACCAATATTAATTCTCTAAAGTTCATTATATTTACATCCAAACAAGCAAAGACATTCCAAATCATTTACAATAGATGAGAGCTCATTGCTTAGGAAAATTACTTGTGGATAGGGGTGCTGTCATCTTCCCATATAATAGACTAGTCCTTATCTGGTAGTAAATGACTACCGAAACTAATACCAAAAGTTACAGACTGTTTCCTGCTCTAATTTTAAATAACAAGACAGAGTGCCAAGTGAGGGACAAATCAGTTTCAGGACAGAAGACAAGAATATAAAATAGCTGAACAACTTGTATGGTTTTTTCAACAAAGACCAGTGGACTTTTTTTTAACCATCTTTTCCAAACAGTTTATTTAGTACTACAAAATGCCAACTAATTCTATTTTCAGCCTCCTTCAAACCACTAATCTTAAATTTTCTTTCAAATAAAAAAAGAAACACTCAAATTATAACTTGTATCTCAATATCACAAAAGATAAAGACTGAAGCACTATTCCAGATTAAAAGACACTAAAGAGACACAGCAATGAACTATAACTTATGATTTAAGGTTTTCCTTTGTATAAAGGACATTGGCTAAATAGCTGTCAAAATCTAAATAGAGTTTGTATATTTGTTGAAGCATTATATCAATGTTCATTTCTGGATGTTGAACATTATACTGTGGTATATTATGAGAAATGGCTAACTTTTAGGAAGCACTCATTGATGTATTTGGGGCTAAGGGACAGCATATATGCAATTTACTTTCGAAATGATTCAAAAAAAAGAAAGAAAGAAAAGAAAAAAGCAAGTGTGGTAAAATGCTAACATTTCGATAATCCCAGTGAAGTGTATGAAAATTCTTTGTTATTCTTGTAGCTTTTTGGAAAGCTATAATGATGTCATACTTAAGAGCTAAAAGAAAAAAAATTAAACAAAAACCAGTGTATTACAACGTAAGAGGCACTAGACTGGTAGTTTCAAATACTTGTCAGGTGAACACCAGCAGCTTTCCTTGAGGTGCTACACCTCCCTGTGCCTCTGCATTACTCACTTGCTGCAGGGGCTGGCAAAGTCCCTGAAAGCTCTCAAGTGACCCCAAATATCAAAACACTGAATGTTTCGCACTCACTCAGAATCTTAACAAATAAGTTCATTGTGTAAGTCAAATACATATAATAGAACTATGATAACTTGAATAACATTTCTTACCTGTTTTCTTTCCACAAGTGCATTTGTTAGCTGATGGCAAAGCCCAGCAACTAGATACAACAATAACAAAATATTGAAAATATAAATAACTACAAGGGCAAAATACATTCAATGAAAATAGAAAATGTTATTTAGCTTACAAGTGTCTGTTGCATATCGAATGTGCTCCCCATTGCAAGTACTGATGAAAAGCTGAACCTGTGAGAATAACGTTTCGAAGTCAGGAACACTGGGCATAGAAAACTTCACAAACCTAGAATAAAGAGAAAATAAACTAATTGCCTTGATGTTTCATGGGGTAAAATGTAGAGCCACTTATACAAAAAAGTTCATCCTGCCTCCAATACTCTGTGAAATTAAATGAATAACAGTATTTTTTAAAAGGAAGAACCGCTGGGCTCGGTGGCTCAGCCTGTAATCCCGCACCTTTGGGAGGCTGAGGTGAGTGGATGGCCTGAGCCCGCAGGTTCGAGATCCACCTGGGCAGGCGAGACCTCATCGCTACAATAAATCAAAAAAATTAGCCGGGCGTGGTAGCGCGTGCCTGTAGTTCCAGCTACTTGGAAGGCTGAGGCGGAAGGATCGCCGGAGCCCAGCAGGTCGAGGCTGCGGTGGCTGGGAGCGGCCACTGCACTCCAGTCTGGGCGACAGTGAGACTCCAACTCAAAATAAATAAATAAATAAATAAAATAAAATAAAAGTAAGAACCAGGGCAACACCCTTGGGTCCCCTCCCACTGTGGGAGCTTTTCTGTCTTCTCAATAAATCCTGCTGTAAAAAAAAAAGGTAAGAACCAGAATTGGACTCAAAAAAAAAATATGTGAATTACAATAAAAATGATTTTGACTTGGAAAAAAAACACAGAACATATACATAAATAGGGACTAAGAGAAATATGCTTAATAAAAAAAGATTTTCAAAATGAAAAACTGCATTAAATAAGGTCGCATACCAGATGTCTAAAACTTATGAAAGAACTGATATAAACGTTTAACCCTCCCCCCAAAATGTTTAATTTTCTTTTGAGCTCCAATGTGGTCAGGACTATTTACTCTAAAAATCAGTTGTTAGCCGGGCTCGGTGGCTCAGTCTGTAATCCCACGCCTTTGGGAGGCTGAGGTGAGTGGATTGCCTGAGCCCGCGGGTTCAAGACCCGCCTGCGCAGATGAGACCTCATCTCTACAATAAATCAAAAAATTAGCCGGGCGTGGTAGCGCACACCTGTACTTCCAGCTACTCGGAAGGCTAAGGCGGAAGGATCGCCGGAGCCCAGCAGGTCGAGGCTGCAGTGGCCGGGAGCGGCCACTGCACTCCAGTCTGGGTGACACAGTGAGACTCCAACTCAAAAAAAAAAAAAAATCAGTTGTTTTTCCTGCTTTGAGGAGAACATACTGAGGGGGTCAGGAGTGAGAGCTATGGGCTGGCTGGAAGCTGTAGCAGTGGCTCAGGTTAAAGATGCTGCTGCCAGCTGTGAGATCTATCTGGGAGAAAGACTGACAGAACTAGCTGATGGATGGGACAGGAAGAGTAGGGTAGTGAGAAGAGGGACAGATGGTGCCACCAACTGCCATGAGAAACATTCCAAAAGGACACTAGTGAAAGGTTTTAAAGGAGAAATCGTATACTGCCAATAAGGCATTGCTCATAAGTAACTTCAAGTTCTTCTTTTAAAAAAAAGAACTACTGAAACTAATTTCAAGAAAAATGAAACAGATATTAACTAGTCACAATTTCTCCTACATCTTTCAGTTTGTCTATTTCCATCTATACATTATTATTTGGCTTAACAATGTTACCTTATATCTGTAATTACATTGGTAATTACCAAATTGTGTCAAACAATTTCATTTGGAGTTCACAATAGATCAGCAATATATTGTGATTGCCATTTTATTTTATTATCATTACTATCTCCAAGAAAGGGTCTTGCTCTGTTGCCCAGGCTAGAGTGCAGTGGCATGATCATAGCTCAGTGTATCCTTGAACTCCTGGCTCAATCAACCTTCCCGCTTCAACCTCTCAAGTAGCTGGGATTACAGGCAAGCGCCACCACACCCTAATTTTTTAAATTTTTTGTAGAGAAAAGGTCTCCTTGTGTTGCCCAGCTGATCTCAAACTCCCAGCCTCAAGCAAGTCTTCTGCTTCTTGACTGTCATTTTATAAATAAAAACATGAAGCTCAGGCCCCACACTTCATAACTGCAACAATGTAGATTCAAATCCAGGGTACTCAGCCACAAGTTCAGGGTTCTTCCCATATATTATCTGATATACAATGATAAAACACCTTACAGCTTCAAAGTGCTTTCATGTATATCATCTCATTTGATATATACATATACGTGAGTTTATGTGCGCATAAAACATGCATGCCGTCTGCTTTCATATAAATTAGAAAACAGAAGAAATCTTTACAAGCACTGTCCAATAGAACTGTCTACAATGGTGGAAATGTTCAATATCTGCACTGTCCAAGACATGAACATGTAGTTACATGTAGCTACTGAGTACAATAAGTCCCCTACATACGAACCTTCAAGCTGCGAACTTTCAAAGATGCAAATGTGCATTCGCATGCAATCACGTAAGTTAGTTCACGTGTCTGGTATACACTGTCACGTGCTGTACTGTAAGATTAAAAATGTTTTCTTTATTTTTTGTTCATGTATTATTTGTGTGAAAAGTATTATAAACCTATTACACTATAGTACTATACAGTCAACTGTGTTAGTTGGGTACCTAGGCTAACTTTGTTGGACTTACCAACAAATTAGAATTATGAGTGAGCTCTCGAAACAGAACTTGTTCACATGTAAGGAACTTACCACACTTAAAATGTGACCAGTGAGCCGGGATCGGTGGCTCAGCCAGTAATCCCGCAACTTTGGGAGGCTGAGGTGAGTGGATTGCCTGAGCTCACGGGTTCGAGACCCACCTGGGCAGCGAGACCTCATCTCTACAATAAATCAAAAAATCAGTCGGGCGTGGTAGCGCACGCCTGTAATTCCAGCTACTCGGAAGGCTGAGGCGGAAGGATCGCCGGAGCCCAGCAGGTCGAGGCTGTGGTGGCTGGGAGCGGCCACTGTTCTCCAATCTGGGCGACCGAGTAAGACTCCAACTCAAAAAAAAATGTGACCAGTACATCTGAATCTTTAATTTTTTTTTTTTGAGTTGGAGTCTCACTCGGTCACCCAGATTGGAGTGCAGTGG